GGGGAGCCCCATCACCAGGTGCCAGCAGACGGGAGGTGGGGTGTGTGCGTGGGTGCCCATGGAGCAGGAAAGGTGCTCCTCTCTCTTCATCTGGTGTCATCTTTCCTCCTTTGGTTACTGGGATTCCTACAAACCAAAGGTCTGGGGCAAAACACAAGCATCTCCAGTCTACTCCGTAGGCGACGCTCGAGTCTGTTTTCCCTTTGGGAGCCAGGGACTTGTGCCCACCAAGGGATGGAAACCCTTGGTTGAAGCTAACGTTGCATTTCCCAGGTTATCTGTCCTCCAGCTCGCGGGGCCTGGCAGCAGAGGGATCACAGAGATGCTCCTTTCCTGGCCCTTTCCAACACCTCCCCAGCCTTTCCCAAGCAAGTTTGGGCTGAGTTCCTGGGATGTCCATCTTAGAGTCAACACACATGTCGTGGAAGCCAAAACCAAGAGCCCTCGAGGAATGTTTGGAGGTGTGTGCCACGGCTCCATCATCTTTCCACAGCAACGACCACTTGCAGCAGGTCCATCTCAAACTCTCACGGTCCCCATCAACTCATCCTTCAACCTCAGGGAAAGTAAGGTGGCCAGCTGCTTCTACAGCACGTCTGGGAAAGAAAAGAGTAGCCCTACCCTGCACCTCCCCTTGCTGACATGACTACCACGAGTGAATAGATGCTAAAATTTGGCATATAAGGTCTCAGCACCATCATGAAGTTCTGTTTACTCAACCAACACGGACTTTGGTTTCACCTGTCCTCTGCGGTGGGATTTTTCTCCACTGGGGAGTCAGTCCTTACAGCTGGGCTTTTTTTTCTTCTTTTTTCTTTTTCTTTTTTTCTTCCATGGAGCTTTTAGTGTGTTCCATGTAGTCCTCAATGTTTCATCAAAGAAGTATCTTGGTAAAGCCCAATTTCCCAAATTCACGTGTCTGTGAACACAAAAGTACCTTCCCACATGTGCTACAGAGAGAAAAATCATCTCTCCCATGGTGATATTTGCTCCAAAAACCCCAAAAACCTGGGGGTGCCCATGCCCAGCAGGTTGGTGTTGATGCCTTGCCGTGTACGGATGGACAGGTCTAGGGCCACGCAGCCAAGATTTGGGGTAAGTTCTGTGGATGGTGGATGGTAACTTGATGTGGGACGCTCAAGGATGCAGATGTTGGTGAGCCTGGCGAATACGAGGGTTGGGATGAGCATCCTGGTGGGCCATCCTTCAGGTGTCCTTCTCCACTGCACCGTCATCGCGCCTGAAGTCCACCTGGGGTCTTCTCACGTGTGCACACACCCCCACCACGAGCACACACCAGGGTTTCACGAGGAAAAGAACTGGAACAACACTGCACGGGGAGTCAACCCCAGGAGTACAATCAGCATCTGTCCACCGGCGGGGGCCACTCAGTATTTCGCTTACCACCCTGACATTTAAGACTCTTCCTAAATTACAAGAAGTTTAAGTTACATCCCGGCTCCTTCATCGTAAAGTTAGATTATTTGTTAAAAAAAAAAAAAAAGAAAATAACATAACCCTAAGTAAAACAGATGCTTCAGAGCAGAAGGTGTTAATCAAACTGATCCAGCCCTATGCCATGTCCTGGAGATTGTGGTGTTGTGGTTTTCTTGTGGTTTTTGTTGTTTGTTTTTTTTTTTTTCTCTTTTTTTTTTGTAAAAATCACATTATATATGGTACAATACATTTTATTTTTTTTTACAGAAAGCCTGGCATCTAGAAATAAGAGGTAGAACTACTCATAACTATATGTTTCCTGCTGCAGGAAAAAATTCATTTTTTTTCTTTACAGTAATTAAAAAAAGGTTAAAAAAATTGACAAAAAAAAAAAAAAGTCGTAGGTTAGGCCCCCATAATTTAAACAAAATAATCTAGGAAAATAACACTCTTCCATGTACCTGACGGATTAAGTCCATTAAAGTGTTTCTTTTTTAAAAAAAAAAAAAAAAAATTGCATAGGAAAGGGACGTTTCAAAACACACGCTACAACGATGGCAATGGTTTGTCTGTGCTGGGAGTGAAGTACCTTTTTTTTTTTTTTTCTTTTTTTTCTCTTTTTAATCCTTTTCCTTCCCGCGTTAACTGGGAGCGCAGGCTGAGGAGAGCCAGAGTTAGTATTTAGCAGCACTTTCCAGCATCTTGGAGCAGTGTAAAAGCGAGACATGGGATTAGCCTGGAGGTGGGGAAAGGGTTGGGTTGGTTGGGGTTGAATTTTTTTCCTTTTGTTCTGTCGGACGACGAAGAGAACAATCAAAAAAAACCAGGAGTTTGCAAGTAGAGAGACGCTGGTTTTATCCCACCCCACCAACTCCCCCGGGCATCTCCCACAGGAAATCCTTCCCCATTTCTGCCCACGGTGGGGCTGTGGGGGGGACACGTGCGTGTGGGGGCCACGGAGAAGGCCAAAGGGGTGTGGGTCAGCGTGGGACGACGAGGAGGGAGGAGAGAAGGTCTGCGGGGGGCAAGGCTGCCTTTCAGCTACGCCGGCGGGGAGCGGAGAGCAGCTCGGTATTTGGCTAGTGACAAAATAAAAATCCCATAAAAGACTTTTTTTTTTTTTTTTTCGGACCCCAGTACTTATCCGGCTCCTAACTTTCATAGTTCTTTTTGTTTGTTTTTTTTTTTTTTTTTTTTTCTGACAGACGGACACAAATTACAAAGTAGTTTCTGTTCCCTTGCTCCTCCAGAAGTAACCATTGTCTTCAGGCTCAAGTTCTATTCTAATTTGAGGCACAACTTTTACTGGAGTTCGTGGAGGGCTGCAAAGAGAAAGAAAGACGAGGTAAGTGTGGGGACCATCTCCAGGATCTTCAGCCCTTCTCAACGTGGTCTGCCAAGCCCAGGGCTCCCTCTGGCACAGCCTCCCAGTGACCTAATCCTGGGGAAAAACTCATAGAATTGCCTGGGTTGGAAGGGACCTTTCAGATCATCGAGTCCAACCATCAACTCTGATAAAACCCATGACTAACCCATGTCCCTCACCACCACATCTGACCAGCTTTTAAATCCCTCCAGGGATGGGGACTCCACCACTGCCCTGGGCAGCCTGGTCCAAGGCTTGACAACCCTTTCAGCGTAAAAAATGTTCCCAATCTCCATCCTAAACCTCCCCTGGTGCAACTTGAGGCTGTTTCCTCTTGTCCTATTGCCTGTTTCTTGGGAGAAGAGACCGACCCCACCTCATCATCTACAACCTGCAAGAGAAAACCAGCATTTCACAAGCAAAACAGAGGGGCAACTGGTGTGAGCTGGGAAAACTGCAGGTTCTGGGACTTCTACTGGGACACCCAACTGAAGGTCACATCTGGAAATGGAATAAATGCTCAGCTCCCCCCAGTACCGGTTCCTTGCATTAGCTCATACAACACAGCTTTCTGGAACCAGTAGCATAGAGACACCAAGTGAATAACCTTGACTGGTGGTGGCTTAAGAGAAGGCCCAAACATCACATAAGATAATTTTAATGAGTCGGTCCAAACACGGCTCGTGTCAGGAGGTAAACCCACTGATTTCATTGACTGAGGAGCTCCAAGTACCCAGCACTTGTGCTTCAGGCCCAGCTGTGGCAACACCCATAAACTGCTTCTGAAATAATCGGTTTTAAGATTAATTCCACACACTCTCGAGCACCGGGAAGTGTAGATATTTTTTGGACATTTCAAAGACTATTGCTGCCTGAGTCTAGATCCAGCTCCCGGCACTGGAAGGTCCAAGGTGGCCCCAAGGGGCCAAGCCGTGGATGAGCTCTGAGAAATTGTTACTTAACTCTTCATTGCTGCAATTTAAGGTTATTATTTACTCTATTTTCCACCCCAGACATGGGAAATTGGATTACATCCTCTTTGCAACATCCTGTTACATGACTGAAGGAAAGCGTAACAGCAATTTCCTCTCACTGTCCATCTCTTTTTTATTTTTTTTAAGGCTAAAGAGCTCCAATTAATTTAATTTTCCCCCGGTAGACGTGTCTTCTAGACTCCTCCCAGTTGCTCTGCACCTTTCTTCTGATTTAGAGCCCAAGGCAGCCATCGGTTCTTCAGCTGGGGTCTAAGCAAGACTGGTGGAGCCCAAGGCTCTCCGCTCCTCATCCCAAGCCCTGTAGGGCTGCGTTGGCAATCAACTTGGGAGGGATACTAAGAAAAATTTCTACACTGAAAGGGTTATTAAACTTTGGACCAGGCTGCCCAGGGCAGTGGTGGAGTCCCCGTCCCTGAAGGTATCTAAAAGCCGGGCAGATGTGGTGCTGAGGGACATGGGTTAGTGATGGGTTTGTCAGCGTTGGGTTGATGGTTGGACTCCACGATCAGAAAGGTCCCTTCCAACCCAAACCATTCTATGATTCTATGCTGCAACCCCACATAGGGAATTTTCGCAAAGTGCTTTTTAAGAGTTTCCTACACCAACCCAAACCATTCTATGATTCTCTGCTGCAACCCCACATTGGGAATTTTCTCAAAGAAGTGCTTTTTAAGAGTTTCCTACGGGAGACAAAAACTTTGCCTCCCTGATTCTGGGCATACTGAGGGGCAGCTGAGAAGCTTTTGAGGAATGGTTCTAAAGTGCCTTTTTTTTGGGTGCTTACCTTGGCATGGTGTGTGACCGAAGGAAAGGAATTGTATCAGCACGACGTATGGCGTTCAAGGAATGTTGGTGATTTTTCTCCTGTCGGGGAGGGAAGAAAGTCTCGTTGGTGGCTGCCTCAGTTCCTCCACTACACCCTCAGCTATTTGGCAACGCGTTCAGGAGACAAAAACTTTGCCTCCCTGATTCTGGGCATACTGAGGGGCAGCTGAGAAGCTTTTGAGGAACGGTTCTAAAGTGCCTTTTTTTTTGGGTGCTTACCTTGGCATGGTGTGTGACCGAAGGAAAGGAATTGTGTCAGCACGACGTATGGCGTTCAAGGAATGTTGGTGATTTTTCTCCTGTCGGGGAGGGAAGAAAGTCTTGTTGGTGGCTGCCTCAGTTCCTCCGCTACACCCTCAGCTATTTGGCAATGCTTAGAAAGGAATTGTATCAGCACGACGTATGGCGTTCAAGGAATGTTGGTGATTTTTCTCCTGTCGGGGAGGGAAGAAAGTCTCGTTGGTGGCTGCCTCAGTTCCTCCACTACACCCTCAGCTATTTGGCAACGCGTTTTCACCGCTGACTCCCTACCGGGTGGATTTCACAGCTTGTCAAGAAAAATACTGAATTTCTCTCTCTCCTCCAAGATAAACACCCCGGAGCTGCCAAAAAGGCCAAAAGACTCATTTCCCAGGACTTTCCTCACCTTCAGCCCCTGACACTTACCTTCCATCTACACCTCTCTGGTTACCCTGTGCCCAACCTCCTGGCGAGAAAATAGGTGGCTTGGAGCCTGCAAAGGCTTTTCCTCTCCTGACCCAGTGTGGGGGAGTATACTCTCTGTTAATAATAATCCTATTAAAACTTTGAATATTAATATCCTATTAATACTTTGAATTGCAGACCATGGTTATATCCAAGGGCAATACCATGGTGTCGCTGGATTCCAGCTACTTTTTCTAGTCCAAGGGCCTGATTTGATTTGATTTTTTTCTCTGCTTCTAATTAAAAACCAGCAAATCCATTACTGGATTATAAAAATTTACAAACAAGCAAACCAGCTACTGCTCAGCTTATGGTGATTTCCCCTGGGCTGTCTCAAAGGGTGCTCTTACAAACAGGTTTGCGGCAGAACCTTAATAGTTTCCTTAATTATTTCAGCCTTAAAGATGCTGAAAACAGTGAAACAGGGCACCTGAGCATAAAATGCTGTGTAACACCAGGATGCAGCATGTTTTTAGCACATTGTGGCTGTTTTACAGAAAAACGAGGAGGATCTGGCTGGCTGTCCCAGGCTGATTTCTTTTCCTTATCAGCAAAACATGGAAACTATCTGAATAGTCAGAGAAATGTCTCTTTGCCTTTGTGTTATAATGCCAATCTCTAAGTGTTCCTGCACCTAAAAACTACACAGAGATGCTTAGACTCACCTAAGGGATGGTGACCCTCAGCTAAGTGTTCCTGCACCTAAAAACTACACAGCGATGCTTAGAGTCACCTAAGGGATGGTGACCTACCAAAAGGCAAGGATGGTGACCCCAAATGCCACCGAAAGGCAAGGGACTTGGGCACCAGCTCTTCAATATTACCTCTTAAGGATCGGATCTAAAGATCTGTGATTTTAGGTCCTACTGCTAGAAATCCCCAGGCTTGGGACCAACAGGCAAGGGACTTGGGTACCAGCTCTTAAATACTACCTTAAGGATCTAAAGATCTGTGGTTTTAGGTCCTACTCCTGGAAATCCCCAGCTTTGCCGCACTGCTAATTTATTACTAATTTATTCGTATTTCTCCCCTTCTACTTCATGACAAAACAGCCCGTTTATCTCCAGACAGCACCCATCGCTCATAGTATTTTAAAAAAGTCAGGGGAAAGGCCAAAAAAAGCTGAGGTGAGTTGTTATTCCCCACTCCTCACTCACAAGGCTATGGTAGGAAAAGTGAAAATGACTGAAAACGAAGATGGCAATAATCTTAATGATGGATACACAGGCAGGAAATTAAAAAAGAACAGCACAGCACAAAAGCATATCACCTAAGAAGGGAAATACGTTAATGGTCAACTGATCACTGCCTTGTCAGTTTAATGCGGGTCAATGACGCGCTTAATTACTCTTTTAAGGGCTGATTTTTGCAACTGCTTGGCACCTAAGGAAACAAAGGGTAAGGGGACAGCGAGGCAGTTCAGACATGCTGCAAATCCAGAACAGCAGGCTCAGAAGGGGAAAAAAATATAAAATAAAACCAAGCCATAAATCAACCCATCAGCGGAGTGAACACAAACCAGGGAAGGTTGGGAAAGAGAGGAGGAGAGAGCGAGCGGCCGAGGGACCTGTCAGTGGCTGGAGAAAACACACTTAAGCTGGAGGCACCAGAAGGAACAACATCAATTTTGTAACAAGCAAAGGGAAAAAAAAAAACAACAAAAAACCAAAAGCGCTCACAAAGCCAAAATCTGTCATAAATCAGAGGCCTGGAAATTAAAAAAGAGAAAAAAAAAATAAAAAAGGAACAAGACAAAGTATTTCTCAAGTAATAGGAAAGGTGGTTTTTATTATTATTTTTTAAAAAAATCACCATACTGCAAGGCAGAGTCAAGCAGGCATGCAAGAGGTTAGTTCTACTCACTGTCGGCAGGTTTGCTATCACTTAGGAAAGGTTCCTGCTCCATGATGTCCATTGGGATTTTAATACTTGGGACTTTTTCTGAGTAGGGGCAGTCAGACTGTGAAAGAAACGTGTAAAAGATCTTAGAATATTTTCACCGCGCGCTCTCTCCCTCTCTTATCGTCTCCCACAAATTAAAATCATCCTTCATACAGTTTCTGTAGGAACGAGGAAAAGAAAAGAAGGAAAAAAAATAATAAAGGAGCATGGTTTTAGTTGCCTGATGGTTTCCACTGCTTCCCTGCTCCTCTCCCTCTTCCCTCGCACTTGGGAAGTGGAACAGGTTGGAGGCACCACCTCGTGCAGTCCTTATATTCCCCTTTTCCCACCCACCAGCTCATGAGACACCATCCAATTCTCCTTGGAGTTGGCTGTGTGAAATACAGATGGGAAAGCCCATTCCTAGGCAGAAAAAGCCGGGCGCTGGCTTCTGTGAAACCTCATCGAAATGTTTTTATCCTGCTGTGATTTCTGTAAAAAACCCCTTTTTCCGTCCCACTCACTCTAGGAGGACGAGGGCCAGACACCGTGTGGCAGAGGCTCCTTAAGCTGGGTGGTCTCAGCTCCCCCTTTTACTGAAGTCCAGTCAAACCTAGTCTCATCACAATGAAATAGTTCATCAAATCCAGGGCCCTTGGAAGAATCCCAGCCAGGAGAAGCAGCGAACCAGGCTCTCCAGAGCTTGGGTACCAGCACGATTTACACCCCACTGGCTTCCATAATCCACCTGCTTATGCTCAGTAGAAGCTTAACTCAGAATTACTTAACTTTTAAAAAATAAAAGTAACTTCTCCTAACCCAGGAAAGGCTGATATTGCACAACTGGGCGAAGGAATTAGGGTGATATTTGCGGGAAACGTTAGCACATCTTTGTTCCTGGAGAGAAGGAGACAGAGCACCGAGCCTGGCCCTGGGGTGGAGGGAGGGAGACCTTCAAGTCAGGGCAGGAAAACATTACAGAGGCCAGAGAATCGCTCTCCCTGGATTATTATTATTATCATTTTAATTATTTTTTAACATAACTGTCATCCAGTGCAGTATTTCATACCCCAATAGCAAAATGTTTCCCTCAGGACTATTTTTAGGAGGCTGAGGGAGAAGCACAGCTCAAAGAAAGGTGATTTTGCAGAAAAGCAGTGAGGCAGAGATAAAGCCGTCCCCAAATCCCCCTCCTTTGGGGCCCTGCTGTGAGCAGAGCTGGGGTAACATCTCAATTCATCACCATTTCCCTGCTAATAAAGAAATTTAAGAGGTCTGTGGAACAGCAACGCTGATGCCCGGGGTCCGCTTTGAACTTCACCATCCACAATTTAACAGAGAGATGGAGAAAGTATCTGCACTTGGCAAAAATGCCCCAAAGAGAGAAGAAACCATTGTGCAGCACTTCTGACTCTGAAATTAAACATACTATTTTTTCTTTTCAATTGTCTGGCCTTTCTTGGGTCGGGCATTTTTTGACATAAAATTGGAGAGAAACCCAAGGTGCTTGAGTCTTCATGAGGCCAACGCAGCGATTGGCTGCACTAATTCATACTTTTTAGAGATGCTGAAGGGAAAAAAAGGTGAGATGACTGAAAATCGTTCTTTGCAGCTTCTTTTTCACTGTCCCTGGTTGCTCATAAACCCCAGGGAGAACTTCAGGTGATCAGGTGAGTCCTAATGAGCACCAAGAGCGGTCTCCACTGAGGCTGGGCTTTGCTGTGCTCCTTCCTCTAAACCCATTTGCATCAGCAAAGACCAGGAATTCTCTTTGCTGAGCTCTGATGGGGACATCACCCACCCAATCCCACTGGGGTAACTCGGTGGGGCCATATTTCTGGAAGGGAAAGGGTGGAAATAATCAAACCAAATAACGCCAAGTGCTTTACATTCAGGAAGCCGGTAAAAGCAAGCACTGAAAAAAAAAAGAAACCAACCAAGAAGAGTTAAGAACCAACATTTTGCACAAATTCTCTTACCCGTTAGATGGATTATTGTACCTGAAATTCATGAAAAGCATGAGAAGAGAGGAGATAGCTTAAAACATACTGGAGATACGGGAGCTATGGCTCAGGGTACGATGCTGCTGGATTCAAATCGATCAAGGGGAAGGGATGGAGACAAACCTTTGCTGACTATTTGCTTTGTACAGTAGGGTGTTTTCTCTCATTTTGGGAAAGGGGAGCTTGTTGTCTCAAATAAAAGCCCATTTTCCCACTGGGATTCAACTATATTTAACAAGGTGTGGATCCAGGCTTTCTCCTGCTCCCTCACCTAAGAAATACCTAGTTTTGTCTCTTCCAGTGTACACCCTCTACTTCAGACAGCATTTATTCTTTATAGAAAGGACTTTATGTGTTTTCTTATCAGAATAGCTTGACTTTATTGCCTCCAGCACAGATCTGCAGAGGCGTTATATTGCTCTCCCATAAAGGACTCGGGTTCCAGCACCTGTCCTCCACCAGGACCGAGGTTGCCTCTTCTCTCCTCCCAGCCTTGAGCAAGATGAGGCACCAAGGTGGTCTGCAGGAACTCCTGGAGCTGCCCCTTTCCTCCTGAATCACAGAACGGTTCAGGTTGGAAGGGTCCTTAAAGATCATCAAGTTCCAACCCTGTGCCCTGGGTAGGGACACCTCCCACCACACCAGGTTGCTCCAAGCCCCCTCCAACCTGCCCTTGAACCCCTCCAGGGATGGGGCAGCCACAGCTTCTCTGGCCAACCTGGGCCAGGCTCTCACCACCTTCACAGCAAACAAGTTCTTCCCCACATCTCAGCTCCATCTCCCCTCTTGCAGGCTCAAACCCTTCCCCCTCCTCCTAGGGCTCCCCTCCCTCATCCAGAGTCCCTCCCCAGCTTTCCTGGAGCCCCCCTTCTTTAGGGACTGGAAGGGGCTGGAAGGTCTCCCCGGAGCCTTCTCTTCTCCAGGCTGACCCCCCCTCCAACTCTCTCAGCCTGTCCTCACAGCAGAGGGGCTCCAGCCCTCCCAGCATCTCCATGGCCTCCTCTGGACCTGCTCCAACATCTGAAGACACCAGGTGTATTATCTAACCCACAAAGAGGGATGATGTGGTAGATCTGCTCAGTGCAGAAAGGATGGAGACAATACCCAAGCAGAAACCCTCCCAACACACAACCATGGACCCCACCACAACCCTCCTTTCTCTTCCTATACCACGAGAAAAGCCCTTTTTACATGAGCCCTGGATGGTTACATGAGCAGAACAAGTGACACTGTCCTTACTGCTCTCCCTGCAGCCTGGAATGATTAAAGCCTGGCTCCCTTTTCACGTTCCAAAAGGCAATGCTGACCAAGACAGCAGCTCTCCAAAGGCCGTTCACACTTGCTATACAAAGTCCTATATAACCAGGGTGTTTAGCACTTCAGTATAAATTTAGAGGATTTGAGTTCATGCTGGACCTGGGCAGGAGAATGTTTAAAGGCATGAGGACTGCACTTCTCCTTATTACATAGACAGTCTAAGGCACGTGGATCTGGTTTAGTCAGGTCACCATGCTTAGGAATGGCATAAGCAGCTATGTTTCACTATTCTAGGGCATTCCACAACCTGAAGTAGGACCAAAGACAACACTACAGAAGGGCATGTAGGCTTTGAAAATACTTAGGCCATGAGTATTATCAGCAGAAAGCAGCCTTTCCTGCAATATGACAGGTCACACCTTTTCGTGTCTTTTAAATAATTAAAAAAAAAGTATCAGAAAAGAAAACCAGAGTATATTCAGAAGTAACAGAGCTGCTGGTGAAAAGCGTTCTCCTCCTAAAACGTAAAAGACAATGACGGGGGAGGAAGGAGGAGGAGGGAGAGCAGAAGAAGGCAGGGTGACGACAGGCGCCCTAGCAAAGGGCATGACATCCCGGCAGGTCCCCAGTGCTCTTGTGGGAGGTGAGATCTCACTCTTGGCAACGCCAAGTGCCACCTACCACAGGCTGCTGATGTCTGGAAAAGGGAAGGTGATGTAGAAAAGAGATTTTGTTTGTGGCCCATTTGCTGCGGCAGCAAAAGAGTGAGCCTGTCAGCTTCAGAAGGGGTTTTGAAGCCCCAGAGCTGGAGAGGGGCAGGGACCATCCCAGGGGTTAGTGAGCTAGAAATGAGTCATCTGACAAGGGCAGAAAAGCTCCTTACATCGTCATTGTCACTGTCCATACTGCCCTTCTTCTTTTTCTTCTTCTTCTCATCCTCTTTCTTTTTCTTGTCCTTTTCTGGAATGACGTCATCAAGAAAGCTTAAGTCGTGCTGGGAGAAGAGGTAGTCCATGGCTTTTCTGACTGCTACCAGGGCCAGGATCTGAAAAGGCAGAGAGGGACGTTAATTGGGAACAACACCCTGTGCGTTTCTCTTGGTGCTGCTTCTTAATCCCATGCGCTTTTAATTCTGGTTGTAAATGAACATAGAGACAATAAGGGGTATCTCTATCCGCTTGGAAGTCTGAGCTGTGACTGCTTCACGCCAGAATAAACAGGAGCAATGTACACAAAAAAAGCATGTATCACTTAACACTCCTGCAGAGACAAAGGTCATCTTTAACATCCAACTGACAGGCATCAGGCCAAATAACAGAGACAAAAAAAAAAAATTAGTATTTTAATTTATTTTAGGATTTAATCAGGCCAAATAACAGAGACAAAAAAAAAAAGAGTATTTTCATTTATTTTTGGATTTAGCCTACATGTGCAGGTTCACAGGGGGAGCCTGAGTAACTGTCTTCCCTTTTTTTCCTCACTGCTTCTCCAGATCTAAGAACTCTTTAGGAATTAGACAGGGGCCAAACTGTGCCCTCGGAGTCTGCAGAAGAAAGTTTACTAGGATTGTGGCTGCAGGAAACTGGAGAAAAAGCTTTTTTCTGTGCAAGATACTGCAATCTGAGGCACCGGGGAAAAAAAAAAAGGAAGGGATGTGTCTGAAATAGGTGTTTCCAGCAAGGCTGGGTTTAACACCACCACCAAGATCCCACGTACGCTTTACCAAAGGGTCCAGCGACAGACTGAAAGCTCCACTTGGCTACTAAAAGATATATAATTCACTCCTGACAGCTGATGAAGAGCTTGTTCCAAGTAACGATGATCAACGGCACAAACAATTCCTGGGAAAGGATCTCAAGCGCTGACTTGCGTAACTGAAGGCGCGATTACAGAAGCGAGAAAGTACTCAGGGGGTGGAAAGATGCCGTGTAGACACCCGTGATTATCCCACTGGGAATTACTTCTGTATTAAAAGTGCTTTTCCTTCAAAAAAGCAGAGCCTTGGCTATCGGCCAGAGATTCCCAAATTGGAAGTTCACCATCTTTTTGTCCATGAGTGCAAATAATTGAGGTTTTGTCACCAGATCCAGCTACATCTAAGCTGTGACCGTACCTTCACTGGGTTTGCACCATTATAACAAACTTCAACAGACTCTTTAGTCTGGAGAAGAGAAGGCTGAGGGGAGACCTTATCAATGCTGACAAGGATCTCAAGGGCGGGCTGAGGGAGGAGGGAACCAGACTCTTTTCAGTAGTTGCCAGTGAGAAGACAAGGGGCAACGGGCACAAGTTGGAACATAAAGGGTTCCACTTGAATATGAGGAAGAACTTCTTCACGGTGAGGGTGACAGAGCCCTGGAACAGGCTGCCCAGGGAGGGTGTGGAGTCCCCTTCTTTGGAGATTTTCAAGACCTGCCTGGATGCAGTCCTGAGTAACATGCTCTGACAAGCTCTGGGTGGTCCTGCTTTAGCAGGGGAGTTGGACTAGATGATCTCTATGGTCCCTTCCAACTCTAAAAATTCAGTGAAATTCAGACTCAGGGTTTCCTCAGATTCTCTCTATTACGGGCAAAGAGACGGAGTGTCTGTCCCCATCTCAGATTCAGCTCTCAACAGCAGCACAACACAGCCATGAAAGCGCAATGGAACGGCCTGTCAGTGGGAACTGCTGATTTTTAACACCTTTAAGCACGAGCATGTGTCCCAGCGAGAACATTTGGAGGGTTTTTTTTTTCCACTTGCATCATCTTCTCTCATTTCACCACCAGCAGCGAACAAACGCTTGTCCTCGTTCTGTTTCCCCCTTTCCCTCCTTCTCTCCCTTAAATAGGCACCGCAGCTCCCAACTGCACCCACAACTGACACTTCACTTGTCTGAAAGCCTGAAACTGGGTGACCCTGGGCTCAGATTTAAGGGACTTTCATAAAGGGTTGAGTTTGCAGCGGTCTGACCCATCTCCAAGCCACAGATCAGACTCAACAGAATCTCTGTGCAGCTACAGTCCCGTTGGATCCACACTTGATCTATTTGGCCCTATATAAACATAAAAAAATCCCCTTAAAGCTTGTTTGGTTTTTATTTGGTGTAAGTGCCTAGTTGTGTCTACAGCTCTAGTAATAATCTAAATGTACAGAAAGCTCTTTCACTATCCCCCTTCCTTGGTGCAGAAGTACTGTATCGACTGCACAGTGCGTATTTAAGAAAGAGCTTCTGTGTGATGAACATTTAATCTCTCAACAATCCAAAATAAGTTTTAACATGACTCAGATACACGTTATTAGAAAGAGGACGGGCATCCTGCAAACTTACATACCATCCTCCGATGTGAAACACGTGAATCAACATCCTTGTCTTTTTCTTCAAGCTCAAGGAAAAAGATATTCATGTTTTTTCACTCTTGATTTACCTAACCCTTTCCCTCCACTTGGCACACCTCTTAGCAGCGAGCCTCATTCCTGGTTTTGTCGATTTGTGCTGTTTAAAAGCCACAGAGACATTTTCTCTGCAGTAATTAGTGCAGACTAAAAAAGGAAACCCATGCACCTCTCGTTTGTTCCTGCAGCTCAAGGAGAAAACACGGCAAATCTAACCTTGGAGGCAGCAACGGTCAAAACTATTTACACCTTTCTGGAAAAAAATTAACTTTCCAGGCTCGTTTTCCTCCAGAGAATTTATGTAAAGGCTGCAACCACAACACTGACCCCATGTAGTCTTAAATCAGTGCCATGAATGGAGGCAGAGCCCTGAGCCAGGGATTTGAGAGGGAGAGATTGGGTTTGCCCGTTGATGGGAGGGTATGGCCATGGGTGGAAGGCGCAGGCTGCATGAGGGACATGAAGGAGAACATCACCTACCATGACAGGGAAGATGATAGCAGCCACAGTCGACTTGAGGATCCAGAGGAGGGCCAGGCACACCACCTGCAGGAAGGTGAAGAGATGGACCCTGCGCAGCGGGACGTGGCGCAAGTAGATGAAGTCGGGCTGGTGTTTTAGAGGCATCAAGAGCAGCTTCAGACGATCCATGAACTGGAAAGGAAAAGAAATGGACATTTAAATGAAATCCAGGAAATACGAAAAGAGACACAAAAGCATTATTCCACTGTGAAGTGTGACCTTGAATTAACTTGCTTTCCATCCATAAAAGAAACCCAGGAGAAAACCCAGCGTAGCTCCTCTATACCGACCAACTTGTGCTTGACACAGGGTGGGCCAAACACATTAATTCAGTTGCCTCAAGTGAAAGTTCTAGGTCTACACTTATTTGGCAAGTGAACAGAGACACAGGAGCGAAGCATCTCTCAAAGCAAGGCCTTGAGGGGTCTTTCTCTTAAGGAGCAGGACTCCATGTGCTCTGGTGATCAGTGTGTAACCCGAGGAACAAAGGTGTTGGTGGAAATTGCTCCTCTGGCTTCAAAAGAATGGGCCTGATCTGCTGTGGCTTGGCTTTCACAAGTTGAATGCCCAAACTACAGTCAGCATCAAACTCTGTGTCACTTCTGCCACCCTCCCCTGCCCCGTTCCTGCTAAGGAAAGACAACCAGTGTTTAAAAAAAACACTTTCTTTCTAAATAAATTGGGAGCAGAAGTCAACAGAGGTGAGGGCAGACATCACCTAAACAAAGAGTGAGGAAGATGGGCAGCTTCTTGGGCAGCCTCCCTTGCCCCGTGCTGGACTGCGTGGACTAGGAGTTAAACCAAAACTGGGATTTCTCATCGAGTGAAAAACATCCTTGCTCAGGGGAAAACAAGGTGCCCAGTCCCCTGACCACCTGGGCTGGTGAGCAGGAGAAATCCCCTCCAGGAGAACCAGCCCTAGGGGGAACATGACAATCCCCTCGTTGTCCCCTGCCCAAAGGCGGGCTCGCTGCCCGCTGCTGGGACCAGATGGATCTCACACTGGGGAGTGAAAGCCGGCGCCGTTTTGAAGAGCACCCAAGGAAATTCTCATGGTGCTCACAGAACAGGCAGTCCTTTTCCCCTTAGAGCACAAACAAGTGCTAAAAAAGAAAGGCCACAATTAAGAGGGTGCCAAAAAGCAACAAAACCACTTCCAGCCTCCTGGGGCCAATGACAGACGCCGCGCTGTGAGAAAGGCTCTTTATGGAGTATTTCCTCAACGACAAAGAAAGGGGCTTGGCTTCCCGTCCCGGGCAGAACAGCAATGTTCTTGCTGCAGGACAGCCCCACCGCCATCAATCATCTGCCCTTGTTTTCCTTCAGTCTGTGTCAGACGCCCCAAACCATCCTGGGAGGGAGCCTGGGGCCTCTGCAAGCGTGGGTTGCCCTTGGCATCACTCAGCTATGGTGGGAAGATGGACCTCGGGTCTTCACAAACACCCCCCATCGCCTACAGGGCCCAGGTTTGGCCACCCTCCCACTGAGCAGATGGCTCCCATTTGGTCTGGATCTCAGGACAGCCAGCCCGTGGCAATGTTTGTAAACAGTTGCTACCCTTCCTGGGTTTCTTGGGAAGGAAAAGAAGGTGGTCAAGGAAAAGAGACAGGGCAGAGGATTGTGAAAAAAAAACCCACCCTGCACTGGTTAACGATTGTCATCTTCTGGAGAAGGCCCAGTGTTGGATGGACTCATAGATTCATGGAATGGTTTGGGTGGAAGGGACCTTAAAGATCATCTCATTCCAATCCCCCTGCCCTGGGCAAGGACACCTCCCACCGGACCAGGTTCCTCCAAGCCCCCTCCAACCTGGTCTTGAGCCCCTCCAGGGACAGGGAAGCCACAGCTTCTCTGGGCAACCAACCTGGGCCAGTGACTCACCTGCACGCCGTTGAGGGATGCGACGCCCATGTAGAGGAAGACGCCGTAGAGCACAGGCATGGGAATGAACTGTGGGGGCAAACAGGAGAAACCAAGTGAACAACTTCCCCATACACAATGCACCGTTAACACACAGGAGGACATAATTCCTAGTCTGTGATCGATGCAAATTGCACCTACAAGTGGATAATGCAGAGTAAGAAAGCGAGCAATCCTTCTTCTGTGTTTTGAGAGCCACGAGAACATTTGTGCAATCACTGGAGGGCTGAGGAGCAGGCCCTGAGCTCTCCCACTTTGCTGGAACTTGGACATCTCTCCAAGAACTGAAGGGAACAGAGCCAGCCAGTCAGCAAATTCAAGAAGAGGAGGGGTAAACATGTTCTAGAAAGCTTCAAACTGCTTTTCACCTCTTGGTTTCTGGTGAGATGAGAAGCAGAAGGTAGAGAAGAAGAAAAGGCAGATTCTGCAGTATGTCCAGCTCAGTAAGCCATCAAAGTCCACCCAGAAAGGCTCTTCTCTTGATTCCCACCTCAGCGATGACAGTCATGCCAACCAAATCTCTGACCACTCCACCTTTTGCTTACTTTAATCCACAACCATTCACAAACACAGGGCCGTGAGCTGAGCTACTTTCTTCCCTGCCAGGAACTGTCCTTTCAAACATCAGCTTCTGCTCCCTGAAGTCCTAAGTGCTGCCCATTCCTCCATCACTGTTCCTGCCATAGGGGACATCTTCCTTTGGAAGCAAGGATGGGGCAGGGTAACACCACCAGGGTGACACCAGAAGGAGTATCTGTCCCTCCGACCTGGAGCACAAAGCTGTCCTCCGTGGCAAAAGCCACCACAGCTTCCACGAGGAGGAACCGCTCCTCGTTCCCACCCCAAAAGTGTGGGCAGCCAGCCTGGCGTGACCTGACTGGGAATATTTGGGCACAAAGCACAGGCAGGAGCTGAATAATGGTCTTTGAACCCAGGGAGGATGGGCAGAGCTCTGCTCCTGTTGCTGAAGGACAGACCTTCGTGCAGTGCCGGGCGGCTGCCACTGAACGGCAGCCACAGCACGGCCAAGGCTCCCGTGGAGGGACGCCTGCCTTCAAATGTGCATGGACCTCACTCAAGAGGCAAAAAACACGCTGGCTTTTCAGTCTTTTGTTGTATTCATCGTAAAAACACAGAGCCAAGCACAAATCCATGGAGGCCTAAATCCCTGGAGGCCTTCATCCCAAACACACACGTTTCACTTGGGACACACGAGCACCGGAGTCACTAGGCCGCACGCCATCCCAGACCAAAGCTTCCCTGTCTCCATCTCCCCTCCCTATCACCTCCTGAGAACTTCTTGGCTGCTAATTCATCCTCCTATTGGATGTATTCCCTTCCTTGAGCGAGCTGTGGTAATATTTCACATTAAAAGCCGTATTTTTTTCCCGCAGCCTGGGTTGGATGGTCTGCCACCACCATGTGCCATCGCGGGGAGGGATGGGGAGCCAGCGTGTGGTTCCCCATGGCTGGGGGTGTCTGAGGGATTCAAACCCCTCATTGGGTCTGTTAGACAAGACAAGACAGCATTTCCTCCAGCAAGTTGGGTAGGACGCTTTCAGAGTTTAGCTTTCTAATTCATTTCTCCTCTGGACCCTCTCCATCAGGTCCATGTCCTTCTTATATTGAGGGCTCCAGACCTGCACACAATACTCCAGGTATACTCCATTTGTCTCTTTCCTTCCCCTTATATTTCTTTCTGTTTTTCAAAAAACAAACAAACAAACAAAAACACCCAAAAAAACCCCCGCAAACAAACAAACAAAAAAACCCCAAAAAAACCCCATGTCCAAATATCATTTCACCATTCCACGATGATTAATCCTGTAAATCACCCCTAGGTGGAACCTGAGTACGTTCCCCTGCAGAGCTGTGAGCGCCGCTCGCCTTTGGGAAGACTTTCTTTTGGCAAAGTGGTGGCTGACGACGGGGCTGCTGGCTTGGGCACCCCGAGCAAACCTCCCGCCAGCCAACGGAATTAAAAATGTATTTATAGGCAAGCGCCCGGCCTTCTCCTAGCAGGGGCCGGGGATGTTTCTGTGGAGATCTGCCACAGCTGAGTCGAAACACCAGCGGCGTTCGAAACCAGCACGGACACGGCAAAAAACCCACAAAAACCACAGATGGGATTAGGCGGTGGATTGCCTCTTTTATCAAATTTTTGATGGGGAGCGTTCCGTTTGCCGCTGGCAGGAGAAGACTTCAACGTTCTGCCGGGCGTTTAAGCCAAGCAAAGCTCTCTGGAGCAGGAGACCCTGCCACTGGAGTTTGTTAAAGGTCCTGAACGGCTGCCAGGGACTTCTCTGGCTGGCACGTGGGCGAGAAGCGTGCCGAGTTATCCTCAGGCGTCCTCCCGCCAGCATCTTCCCCGCACGCGCTCTTGGGGGAAGCGCAGGCAAATAATTAATGACTGGAGCAATAACAGGGGAAATAATAGACCCCAGCGGAATAGAGGAAGGGAGATCTCGCAGGGAAAGGTCACATGAACCACCAAACAGAATTACTGCAATCAGGCATTAAATTAAGGGCACGGAAATGCCTGTTTGCGCAGAGGAGGAAGCTGTTACCAAGACACAATAAGTTGCTGGTTGTAAAAACAACCTCAGAAATCAAGAGTAGGGACACACTTGACGTGTAAAAGCCACTTTCTCCACTTTATACGTCATTGCTCTCTGCCTCCTCCCCTTCAGGCTCACATCTCACCATGCCTTACAGCCCTGGTGGCTTCCAACCTCCTCGTGACCAAAATCTCAGTGGCCTCCTCCAGAAAAGCTTCTCCAGACCCCTGTCTGCTCCATCGCAGCATTATGATGCACGGTGCCACGGTTTTGGTATGTGTGTCACCATCTGAGGGAATGGCTTCAAGCTGCAACAGGGTAGGTTTAGACTGGACATGAGGAAACAATTCTTCACAGAAAGAGTGGTCAGACACTGGAATAGGGTGCCCAGGGAGGTGGCTGAGTCACCATCCCCGAAAGTGTTTAAGAGTCGTTTAGATGTGATGTTGGGGGATACGGCGTAGGGGAGAACTTTGTAGAGCAGGGTTGATGGTTGGACTCGATGATCCCAAGGGTCTTCTCCAACCTGAATGATTCTATGATTTTGACATCTTCTGCTGGTACCATCGGTCTACGGATCCATGGAGACGGACTTCTGCAGCTGACATCTCCTGTTGTACAATATGCCTGCTCTTGGCACCACTGGAACACCTGCAGAAGGCAGTATCCTCCAAAAAACACAGATAAGCAGGTTTTCCAGTTGCGTTCTCTGATGTGATGATCCCCTAAGGATGCATTTCTTGGTGGCCATGTACCAATGAATTTCAGGTCTTGGAAAAACAGCTACCTACCTAAATGGTGCATCAGCAGCACATCCATCCAGAGCCTTGGCTAAACTCACGAGAAAAGAGAATCCAGGAGATTAAGAAATCTCATTTAACTGTGCTGCTTCCTCCAGAAACACATTTCACTTCCGAGCGATAAGGGATGTTGCTATTTAAGAAGGATCCAGCCCAAGAGAGTCAAAATTTGATTGTTGTGCTGGCTGTTTCACAAAAAGCCAGGCAAGCTGCAGGCTCCTTGCTTGGCAGGGTACAGCTCCGCTACGGCAGTGGCAGCGGTCCAAATCCCCAAAATTTTTGGCCAAAAGAGTACCCCTGGACTAACACCATCAGCAGTAGGCTCTGCTCATCACCACCGGTTCTGAATATTCTCTCTCATCAAAAAAACCTTCTCTCAGTGGGTCATGCCCACAGCCCATGAGTAAGCACCAAGCGAAGGTTTTCTTCAGGTATGCACAAGATGCATGCACACTCAAATAAATGCAAATTTATTTGCTTTTAAAACTATGAATCCATCTGTTAATCCCTGTCTTCCTCACAGCACCTCTGCTGCATTGCCCACCATCCCTCCGTCGTGCCACCAGCAAGATCCCGAGCTTTATCCACAACACATATCCCATAAAACACAGGCACAGCAGAAGGATAAGAGAGCAAAATAAAAGGAAACTTAACTTTATGCAAACATGGAAAAGAAAAAAATCTTCAAATGAAAGAAAAAATATCACAGCCCAGATCACCAAGATCACCAGCCCGGAACTTCGTCACGACCTAGCATGCTACAATGATGCTATTTTTTCCTTCCAAAAGGAAGCTTCCAGAAAATTGTAAAACTGCTTGAGTAATTCTCACTAATCTCCTTTTCCACACTCTCTTTTTCCACTAAAAAAGCTAAAAATGAGCTTTTTTAGCAGCATAAAACCAGCCTGAGGGTTGCTGTGGCCCTGCTTGGGCTGGGTGAGCCAGGGGAAGCAGGGAAGATGACGTCCTTACCTTCAGGATGGGCGCCATGAAGACAGACACCCCAGTCAGGATGAAAACGATGACCCCGGTGACTCTCTGCTCCCTGCAACAAAACCACCGGGTGAGCAGCACAGCTTCAGCCTTCACTCTGACTTTATTGCCTCCTGGAGTACTCAAAACCAGCAGAAAACCCGCTTTTGCACCCCATTTTCAAGGCAGAGCGGTGGTTACAAACCCGCAGCACCAGGCAGGTTACCACCATCCTGACCCAGCCTCGTAAATCTCTTTTTTAACCCCCAGATCAGCGTTGTCAGCTCCTTTGTTTGTGGATCAACAGAGCCTTGCTACTGAGTCAGGGGTGTGTTTACATGTTAAACACTAGAAACCGTTAGCCAGCGATCCAGATTCTCTGCCCGGCGGTATTTGCAGCTCCCAAGGAGGCAATAAATCACAGTCTCTCCACTCTCAGACCAGCAGCCTATTTCCAGTCCTGCTCACAGCACTCCAGCAGTTGGGAAAAACGGCCTTCGTGGGGTGCCAAACACGTGCCTTCATCGGCACCCACAGCCCAAAATACTTTCGAAAATGACTCCCCAGTCATATTTCAGAGCGCTGAAATCTTGGCCATTATATTTTTATTTAGTTCGCCCACACGAACGGCCTGATTTCCAGAAGTGCTCCTGTTGAAAGCATTTCAGACCACTTAATTAAGGCAAACAAACACAGAAAA